AAAAAAATCAGGGGGTCACCTGGTTAGTTTTCGAATTATTTAAGCCACAAGCTACAAAATTCGTTTGAATAAGCCTATGAAAGCGTTGCCATGGAAACTGCTAGTGACGAAATGACACTTATTTTTGGATAACCAATGATTATGTAATTCAACCCCGTAAAAGTGTTCAACTGGCCTTGGTCAGTCTTTTCATTCTTTCAAAGTTACAAACCATCAAAAAGATGAAAACCGGTACGAGCCACCTTAAGCTGTCATTTTATGCACGAGATATGTCTGGATATAATGTCATTGGGAAAAAAATACACTGTTATCCTCTAGTCTAGTTTGGCGTGCAATGGCAGAATTTATCTCGTCCATCTGACACTTTTCCTTTCGAGGGAAACAAATTTGCTGCCAGTATTATTCGAATATCTGTGACTCGTACACTGCCGGAATACGGTTATACTGGCAACAATTTGGAGAACATGTGGCTTCAAAGAGAGATTATCCTTCCCTTGCAAGTATTGAAGTCAGCAAAAAACGCAAAATATCAGCTCAGGAGAAAAAAGGATCCGTTCTTGCGTAGCAATTCGCACGGCACTTTTATCTTTTTCAAATTTCTATTTCTAGAGCAAAATAGGTTTGTATTTGACTTATGAGTTCATCAGGGAAGTTTGGGTCAAAGAATATTAGTTTGATACGACCGCCGCCAAAAACATAGTCTCCTTCGCAGCCGTTGTTTGGGCTCGTCACGCAACGCTCCCTCCTCCACCAACCGGCTGCTTAAYACCCGAGCCGCATTCCTTTCCCTTTGTTTAGATTTCACGGTGATTTCACGTAATAATGCGCGTTTGCACCAATCACACGTCGCCTTTGGTTTCACGATAAAACCAATCAAATTTCAATGACGTAAGTTTCCCGCTTAAATTCATCGGCGCTTTCTGGAGAAGTTGGCAGTCACCTCAGAAATTTCCCGTGGATGTAACTCCGAAGAAATTGGTAGAAAGTAGTTCAAGATGCTTCACTTGTTCCTCGATTTCACACGCAAAGGATAAAATTTACATTTTCGGTAAAAGTTCATTTAATACAATGAATATATGAAGTTCATATATTTCGAACTGCAGTTGTAGATCCTCTACTGCGAGGATCGTGCATCATAAGTTCATTTAATGTTGCTGAACTTATTCGTTCTTCGCTCACTGTTGACGTGCATCGCTAAGCCGGGAGAACTGCAAATTGTTTGTTTGTAGAGACAAATGCTAGCAGCTTTTGATAAAGTTTAAGAAGGCATCGGATAAACTGAAAGAAATCAAGAAAGATATAGAAGAGATCTTCAATACAAGAGACTGCTGCAACGGATGAGGAGAATAATGTCGGTGAACAAGAGCTCTTTGACAGGACTTTGAACACGATAACACCTGCACGAGGAAAAGCATCGAAGTCGCTACGATTTTCCGATACCACTTGTACTAATGTTTACCGCGCGCTGACTCCAATATTTTGCCAGTAATTTACCTGATCCTCCATAAGACTTACGAGCGGAGAAACAATAACAACGATATGCCCAGAAGATTGTAGATGTGATCGCACACGAGTGGAAGAGCCTGATAAATCAAGGATTTTCCAAACCCTGTAGGCAGGTTCACAAATACATTTTTTTTTGCCAAAGAATTTTCTCAATTGCCAGCTTCTTGTGATCATTCAAAGTACGAATTTTGAATTTGGAAGCGGTCGAAACAAAAGCTTCTTCGAGAGCCATTCTCTCTGCTCTATGAGCCGCTGATAGAAAACGAGTTTTGATTGGACGACTAGTCTTGGCGGGACTTACTCAGAATTATATGAGCGAAAACGTGATTGGCTAAAACCAGGGAAAGGAATGCTGCTCGGGTTTAAGCAGCCGGTTGGCGGGGAAGGGAGCGTTGCGTGACGAGCCCAAACGACGGCTGCGAAGGAGACTACCAAAAACAGAGAAGGGTTAAAATTTTGCCAATTTTTCTATTGGTGAAAAGTGGGAAATATTTGAAATCACTCTGGCGCGACCCGGCCCTTATATAAAATGACCACTACGGGCTCGTCAAAATACTTAACGATACTATGCACAAAACCATGTCGGAAATCGTGTGTTTACATAATCAAACCTTTTTAACGCGTTTAAGTTTCGTTGTTTAGTCCACCGCAAAGGGATAGGCATCGAATCTGTCATCATTAGTAACTGTAACCAATCAAAGGAAACATTCACCGATTGTATATCCTTTGTTCTAAAATACACCACGTGTGTTGTAAAAAAAAACTCGGCACGTTGTGAGAGAAAAATATATCTGTTAAAAAATTATATCGTGAATGATTGTTTTCAGTGCGAGTTTATCGAGAAAACCGCTGTGTTGTCAGGCAATTATCTAATTCCCAACAACAATCAAGTTATAAAAAGCTACTGCACAATATTTCAGAACGCTTTCTAATGTTATTTCAGTCGTCATGCTGTGACATGCTAATTTTTATTCTTCTCGGTCCATAGAAACGTAAAAAAGGAACTCTGCCAATATCCAGCCATCTTGACCGAACAAGATTGGTCAGTAACGCATAAGAGTGTGTGAACAGTCCCTTCTTTTCCGCGAGTCAAAAAAATGTCAGTGGTAAAGATGGTTGACGTTAGCGCGCCGCGGGAAACTCTTGTAGTAACGGTGATGCACCGCAGAAGCCTTATCAGTGTGGCGCTCGGCGCTCGTGGTCTAGGAACGCTTGTGCATAGTCTACAAAGAAAGCTAACACGAGACTTCATTCGTAGCAGCTGGAAGTTTCCAATCAGAAGACCCTGTGGCTTATGGCCGGCGGCCAGATGTTTTTCTAGATCTGGGAATGTCACGCGATTCCACTTCGAATTATAAAGATTGTGAAAAAGACTTCTTATGCTATACACAAGCTCAGAAAAATGCGTCCACTAAAAAACCCAATTATTAATTTTAAGAGTTGATTGGTTCTTTGAAACAAACATCGAACTTTCTCAATAGGCTCGTATGAGCTTTTTCTGTAACAGTTTTGGTGAATATTTCTGGCTTCGGGCATTTAGTCTATTTGAGACCGTGCGAGGCAACTTGATCTGGAGTGTCTCGGAATCGCGTAAAATAACTAAAAAAAACATCTGATAACCCTTAGGAAGTTTGAAAGAACCATTCAGCGGTAATTATGTGTAAAAGTTCGACTGTAGGGTATTTATCAGTCCATTCTAGATTATGGCGTAGCCGCAACCTTAGTAAATAAATAAGTAAATAATACGCTCTGTCCAAAATTACATGTTTGTGTTGTCAAAATTGAATGGAATTTGCCACCATTCGTAGCCTACGAGACAGATTTATTTCGAAAGAAAAATAAAACAAAAATATATTTGTCTCCTAGACTGAGGGTGAAACAGTGATTGATGGAAAAATGTTAAACAAGAGCGGCAGTTTCCATTACTTGTCTTAAAGGTCCCTCACCCACTTATGAAGTGGTTTTGAAAATACGATGAAAGAAACATCGAACTTTGAAAGTTGCAATCGCTTTAAAAGTAGCAATGTTTGCAAGCAAGCTGTATGTGAGAAACCCTCACGTATGTTTCTGTGTTTCATATCCTTACCGGGCACACAACAAAGATGGTGTGCGATTGAAAAACTCAGTTACAAAGAACAATCACGAGAGAAGACACCAGATACAGGGACCCGGTGGTAAACATAAACGGCGCAACGTACATTTAGGTCAATCTTCTAGTGGGTCTTTCCCTTTTAACAATCATGTGACTGAACAATTCTATCAGTTGAGCTCAGAATAGGATTTTTAGAATACGTCGAGGCCAACCCGACTTAAAGTAAATTTAAGATAATGTAAACGAACAGAAAAAATTGGGACAAGCCCCGAACAAACTCACCTACGTTAGCTTAAAAACGTCACTTATTTGTGAAGCTTTTCCCCTCCAGTCGTTGTAGTAGGAGAACGTACAGCGTTTGCATCGAATATAAATCGAAGTAAACAAATTTTTGCGCTATCGACGGGTTGTTGACGAACTTTGTGGTCACGGTATGCAAATTTGAAGCTAAGCGATAATCGGGGAAAGCCCCAATTTTTACCGCTTCAAAGTCGACCAAAACTCGTCCGCTATTGCTGAATACATCTTCCAGCCGAGCCCGCAAAAAGGTCATCATGACGTCAAAGGCTCAAGAAACTTATGCTTTGCTTTGTCACAACTCTCTTTGTTCGCTGCACAGAGAATCACACATATTACTTTTTTCAGAACTGTTTTTTGTATTGTATTGTAATCTTTATTTACACACGNTGAAGCTTCTGTGGATAGTTTTGCGCCGACAAACGATGAATTTTTGCCATGCGAATAAAGATAAACACAGAACGGCACGGACTCCCCATGTGGCTTTTGTGGTCGCATCGCTTTATCGCCTTCGAACTGTATTTTTGCTTGTCGTAAGGGATTTTCCTTTTTTGTAAGAAATGATCGGGTGATTAGTAAAAATAGTTTTCGGCAATGGCTAATTGTGTATCCGAAGGCGGATATTGGGAGTTTGTGAAAGCCATTTCTAAGCCATCAATGTGTTTTCCCCGATGCATTTGGTCAATGATCTCATTAACCCTTTCCTACGTGTTTTTTACTATCGGTGCTTTGAGAGGTTTGAAGTGAACTCTGTTGTTGAGTTGCACTTTGGCCTCTTTTGTTTTTTCTGTCTTATTCATGATGTATTGTTGTGTTGCTTCGGTGAGGTTTAAAGCAGAGTTTGTTTCAACTCTTTTAGAGCCGTGACCTCATTGCGTTACAAAGTATTTTTTGGCTTAGATGCAGTCTGCAAGTAGCGTTATGACAATTTTCCAAGTAGCTCTGAAGGGCGATAGAAGACTGAACCGGTGGCATTCAGTTTGATATGAAACAGAAGTGGTTCTTTGTTTTGTCCGTGAAAGGTGTAACGGAGGCGCATTCGTCTTGCGAATAAATCTCGCAAAAGTTGGCCTGATTTTAAATTCGTTTGTCACGGGCGTTGGGATGAATTTGAGACCCTTTGATAGCACGCTGACTTGGCTGTCAGATGGTTGATAGTTTGACAGGTTTTTAAAGAAATTTTCATTTTCTCGGTTTTTTGGCTGCAAGCCTACATTTTAAAGTGTTTTTACGCTCTGTGTCTTAAGCTGTTTGTTCTGCTTTCGCTGATATTAAAGCCAGCTTTTTTTAGAATCAGAGCACACAATTATATTTTTCATCTCTTTTGTATAAAAGTGAGCTCTTTGAGGTCAGAAATCTCAATCCTCAATTCGGCTATTTTATCATTCTTATTTACAATGTTCACCGAGTACTTTCCTTTGTGTAAGGTATTCTGCCAGAGAGTTGTTAAAGGTGGATATTACATGATCACTTCATATGTAGAGGCGACAAAATCCGTGGAGGTTCGTATACTTCGCTTTCCGGCGTCGAGATCGCACTGAGGACGGTTTTTCTTGTCCCTTCTCTTCTTGAACGGCAAGCACTGAACCCGACAGAATTCTTCGCCTAGATCCTTCAAAGTAGACAGATCTCTCGAAACAGTCCTCCGAGAAGTGTTCGGAGTAGATTACAAATATTTCTGTAGGATTGAAGTTTACTAGGCGAGGTCACACAAATCGCCTCGGTTTTTCCCGCTCTGATCTATTTACAAGGCTCCGATGCAGAGAAATACCTGCAGCATGGTCTGCACGATTACTTCGGCTTTGAATTACGCATCGATGCCCAGTCATTTTTGTTTAGTTTTTGTAAGAATAGAGTAAAGCACTCTGTTATGTTTGCTTGACATTTTGCCATGTGAGATTTTTTGCGTTGAGCCTTTGACGTCACTTCCTCTGAATCTTGCGATCAACTTCCGGAACATGATAACATAATGGCGGACGCGAAATCGTGAATTTAACGGCCCGAAAAAAGATATTTCTGGTGTTCGGTCTAGACTGAAATTTGGCAGAGTAGTTGAAGGAGACACACTGAACGCGAAAATAGAAAAAAAATGATGTTCGAAAATTTTGATCTCAGGGGCACTTTAATCGTTTAAAGGGTTTTTGGGACAAAATATTAGAACCATAGAAACGATCTTGAAATCTGACATAGAAAGCTAAATATTAGGAGCATGCAACTGCCGCGCCTTGATATGAGCTGAGATTCAGATAAGTGTTCTCGACATACATCTCTCATAATATCGTGACATGTTCAACCACCACCCGCGCGTGAAGGATTTGACCCCACGCATGTTCCCCAAGAATCCAGGACCCGACCCGAGGAACGGTAGAAATAAAGGGTACAGAAGGAGCAAGGCGATCCCCTTCTCGTCGCACTCCTGAGCCAGGAGCTTGCGGCGAAAGAATAGTCCTGAGCCAGGAGCTTACGGCGGAAGAATTGGTGAAGCGCCGCGCCGGACTGTTGTGTGGGAGGTCGAGGGTTCAACCCCCGACCGGACCAACACTCACGTTCTCAAAATAGCTGAGGAGAATGTGCTACCTTTCTATAAAATCAAGAAATGGATAGACATTCTAGTCTTCTCGGATAAGGACGAATAAACCGTAGGTCCCGTCTCCTGCATCTATTAATTAGTTAATTTGGTTAGACAGGGGAAGTTAAAGAACCCACTCACGAGGTTACTGTGATGTGGTCTGGTCTGTTTGGGGGGAGGGGGCATCTGTTAGACGAATAAACCGTAGGTCCCCCTCCTGCATCTATTAATTAGTTAATTTGGTTAGGCAGGGGACGTTAAAGAACCTACTCGCGAGATTACTGTGATGTAGTCTGGTTTTTTGGGGGGAGGGGGCATCTGTTAATTTATTTATTTTTTATATCTGTTTATTTATTTATTTTTGTTAGATTCGCCTTTCAAGTATTGATTGCAAATTGCTTAGCAGTCTGGTAAAGTCCCCCGCACAGTGTTATAAAGCGCCATGAGCTCGGGATATGAGGGCTATATAAATAAAAATAAAAAAATTAAAAAAAAAAAATAAAAAATAATAATAATAATAATAATTATTATTATTATTATTATTATTATTATTATTATTATTATTAAGAATAGGGACGACTTAAGAAATAAATGATGCACGACCGGGTGACATGGTGAGATTAAACTCGCCCTAGTCTCACTCGCTTGCGGGCTATTCAAATGTTTATTATGTGCTTATCGCTCGCTTGCTAGTTGGTCCGAGATGGGAAACAGAGTCTGTTTGAAGTCTACTTTAAAGAGACCGTTTGTATATACTGAAGAAACAAAAAAAAATTATTATCTGCCCGCTTCAAGCCTCGTAACGCAAAATTCGAATCACAAAAAGCGAATCATTAATTTTCTATCCGTGAGTTGTAAGTCATCGGTAGACTAGAACCTTTGACTCGTTTATATTATAAGAACTAATTAGCCAAAATTTTCCATCATTCTTAATGAATATATTTCCAATATCACGAACAGAATACTGGTAAAACTCGTGATAGCAAACGCTGCAGTCTCATTCTTCGTTACCATTTAGCTGTGCGGGTCATGCGAAGGATTACAAAGTGACTTCTGCTGTCCTTACACCTCTCCCGTTTACCTAAAATCTTACGATTTTAAAAAGATACATTATTATCGTACCTGCAATTCCTCGATAAGGAAACAGGAAGTTTATGTAAATGCGAAAGCGACTAGCGCGAACCGTATGCATGCAGATCAAAATGAAAGCGGAATATTTATCATCGCTACCAGTTTTTCAATCTTAAGAGAAATGTTGGAAGTTTCTCACATGGGCTGTATCTTCGAGCGAGATGTTTGATGTTAAAGTACCCCACAACGACATTGAATGAGCTCATATAGAATTAGGTTAAGTTTTGGGCGAAATAGAATCTGACTTCCTCAAGGAAACTCAAAAGAAAGCTGGCTTAAAACATACCTAGCTGATCGAAAATTGTTTCTTTGTTAACCCCTGAAATTCGCATGAATAAGATCTTACAACGTTCATAATCGAAGAAACGGCATAGCATTTTAAACAACTTTACTTTCTTAGTAAGTTGAAATTATTCTTGTGGTATCAATCATCATGCATTTGGAAGATGGGAAGAGAAATAATAAACCAGTAACGAACAGACACTAACCTCTGTCTGGTACAAAGACAACAAGAACTTAATTGACATCCTACTGATCATAACCAATTCGAAAACAGCGTTTGGTTGCCCATCTCATCAAATGTGTATCAACTATGTTTAGGTGCGCTGTTCCCAGGCGCTGGGCCTGAGGAAAAGGAAGCTGGTCTTCGTGAAGAGCTCGGGCTCATATCCCAAACATCGGCTTGTTATCAGGCATAGGGACGAGGGGAAAATGACCTCCCGAAATTATTTTCCCTCGAGAGATCTTGTTTATTTTTCATCTCTTCCCTTTGATCAATTTCCCATTTCCCTTTGATAAATTCCTCTCTCCTTTTTCGTGTTCGCAAGTCGTTTCTTAACTCTGTTCTCTATGCACTCGTCAAAAAAGC